AAAAAAAAAAAAAACCCAAAATATCAAAATGACCAAAGGGGGACATGGTTCTAGGGGAGGGGCAGGGAGATCCAAGAGAATGATTCCACAGGGTCAGCCGACATCTCAGGATTCTTGGGCTCAGATACAGGCCTGGTGGGGGCTCAGAATTTCAGCCTCCTTGAGAGGACAGCCTCTTTTCCTTACTGTGGCATTCAAGCTCCAACTTCCCCTCCACTCCCCACCCTGCCTCTCCTCGACACTGTTTCCTCCCAGCAGACCACGAAGTTCCCAGCTCCGCACCCCTGCTCCAGCCGTTCCTCCCCTTCTCGCCTCATTTAAACCCTCCCTGGGCCAAGGCCACCTCTCCCTCTGCCTGCTGTTCCCGCAGAGGGTTCCAGCCTCTCCCCAACTAAACCTCGAGCTTGGGGAGGGCAGGAGGAGCCATGTCTGACTCATCCATCTCAGTCTCCCTTTCTGTGTCTAGTCCTGGGCTCAGACCGACTCAGGACTGCCTCCCCACCGCTCAGGGAAGCTTTCTAAAAAGAAGCCTGTTAGAAGGGGTTCCTGGCTGGGAGCACTACCTTGCCTTTGTTCCACGAAGGCCCACAAGAGGGCGCCCAAGGACAGCTTAGTAACCAGTTTGCCTGTTTTATTAAGGCCTGGAGGGTGCCTTCTATAATTATTAGCTACCTGGATACACTTTCCTGTAAGTCAGGTTCAAGCCTGGGGCAGGGACCCCTGAGAAATGTCAGCGACATGAACTCCATTTTCACATGGGCCGTGGGACATGGGTGCCCATAATGACACTGCTTAGTGTCATTATGGTTAGTACCAACAAGGCTGAAAGGGTGCCAGGGGTGGGTAAGTGTATTAACAAGAGTCTGACCTTGAATCCTGGGGGCCCCTGTGCTCCAGGCAAGCCGGCCACACCTGGGTTTCCTCTCTTCCCTGCAGGGCCCATGGGGCCAGGGTCCCCATCATCTCCCTGCTCCCCCTGTGAAGAAAGATGGCAGAAGAGGATCTCTTGTGTTCCAGGAAATAGGCAGCCAAGGAGGCAGAATGATTCCAAAGTCCCAGTGAACTCTGGGTGGACCTGGAAGGGGGAGGTCAGACTCCACGGGGGAGGTCATCCCGCCTGTGTGTGTG